CCGTGATTTTGTTGTTTCTTTCCTCAGAGAAGAGGAGCCTTTCACCTGGGAAGGTGACCTGATGCATGGATAGTTTCACGATAAAGCTTTTTATTTTATATTGGTTTCTTTTAATATCGGCCTAATGGTATCACATAAGGAGACAATTTTAAGCGTACGTGTTAATTGAATAAATTTTATTAAAAATTAATAAATTAAATATTTTTATTTTTAATAAATTTATATGAATAATAAAAAATTATATAAAATTTTTGTTAAATATTTTTATTTTTATTTATATAATATATTAAATTTTTTTTTAAATTTATATTTAAAAAATAAAAAAAAATTAAATTAAGACTATTAAAACTTAATTTGGTAATATTAGTCTATATTTATAGTTATAAATTTTTTAGTCTTTTAATATTTTAAAAATATATAAAATATATTTAATTTTTATGTTTATTAATTTTTTATATATTTTTAAAATAATAAAAAATAAAAACTAAAAATTAAAAGTCCAGGAATTATTGTCAAACAGGCCTATACATGAATTGAGGGAGTAAAATTTTGCCAGGTCAGCATTTTACACGTGGTCCCATGCATTGCCAAATACATTGCCATGTCATTTAAGAATTTTATCATATCATTAATTTATCTTATGTGAAATTTTCATTTCATTAAAAGATAAAAAAAAAATGCCAACTATCTGAACTTAATGGAGTAAACTAACATAACGCTCAAAAAAGTGTATGTTTTTAGAATTAAGGGACAAAGATGTAAAAAATAGTTAAGGAATTAAAAATGTTTTAAATTAAAAGTTTATAGATTAAATTAACATTTAACTAATCGAAAATTATGTGTATATTTTTTGACCTTGACAATATAACTAGATAAAAAACTATATACTATGTAATTACAAAATAATTTGTTTTTAATAATAATGATAACAAATAAATAGATACTCTTTCTTTTAAAATAATTATTATTTTTTTATTTTTTATTTAAATTAAAGATTTGAAAACAATTTATATATTTTTTTATCGGTAAACTAAAATGAAAATTATATTATTAAGGAGTATAAAGAATACTCCAAA